TAAAACAGGTGACACTGATTTTATATATTTAAAGAAATGAAGACTAAGGATTTTATTCCTTTAAGACTATAGATAACAGAACTGAACAAATATTGTTTTTCTTGTTGTTTTTCCCGCAGTTCTGAGAATTTAAATATTTTTTGTTTATAGATTAAGCCGTTTCTTATTTTAGAGTTAAGTTGTAAATTTGTAACCATTGAGTTGTTTGTTATTCTTAGAGCTAAGTTGTAAATTTGTAACTGTTGAGCTGTTTCCAGTTGTTAGAGTTAAGTTGTAAGTTTGTAACTGTTAAGCTACAAGCCTGCAGCATGCTTTATTGATAAATTGTATCGCTAGTGGTCCCACCTGACAGCTCCCTAGAGTGAATGTTACAAATTCCAAAATATATAGGATACATCACTAACTAAAAGGAGGTCTGAGCCTGTTGAAGCTTGATTGAGTTGAAGGCCTCAATCAAGGGCTAGGTCAAGTTTTTTACACAAAGCCGTGCCTGTCATCTGCCTGCAGAGGATGACAGACACTGCTTTTGTATTTAAAAACAAAAAGGGGCAACTGTGGTGGCCTACAGCTGGCCTGTAGGCCTCAAAGTATAAATAATATATAAAATTATAAGGGAAATAATCAGTGATCAGTTACAGAATTACCTCACTTGTAAAATTTGACCAGTGAAACTGTGACTGGTCAAGATCTGAAAGAAGTGAACTGTTGCTGCATGAACTCAGTGTGTCGTGTCACTGGTCTGTCTCCAAAACTGTGACAAAGAGGAACACACATTTCATGATAAATCCCAAAAGAAGTAGTGCATGCACACTCTGACATCAGTGAAGCCTACAACTGTCCCACACTGGTTTTCACCTCAGTCCTCTCTTGAGGTTGGCTTGCTGAGGTATTCACCCTGAACACAACATGCTCCTCACTAAAACACATAACTGCAAGTACTAGCTATGGGCCCCTATCAGACTATAAACCTCACCAAGTCAGTATTCACTGCAAATACAAGACTTACTGAAAGAAAGTAACACCTGGCACCCTAACTCTGGTACCTAAATCTTGAAATTTGAAGTGCTGTGGCTTAACTGTTTGTAAGACTCAACTTTCTAAAGTCTTAGAGTGCCAACTCTATTTTCCTGCCACATGTGCGTAAATTTCTACGGTAAATATGTTGAGCACTACTCAACAATCCACTCAGTGGGATGTAAAGAAGCTCTTGTTTGAAAACTATCTCTGTGGACAAGTGCAGCTCACAACCGTGAGGCAAAGCAGTGTATCTGGAAGGTGTCTAAACAGTAACTTTTTCCATGAGAACTGACTACTGGCTACTTCCCGAGCTAGACTGACAAACAAGGGTAAGGGAAGAACATTGATGCAAACACATACCGATGATGACATCTCTCCCCTTGCAGGCAGATAATAGTTACCTGTTTCGCTCATAACTTCTGTGATGAGGTGATATCCTTCCTCTGTCATAATCCGTCCGGTGCCGACTGCTTTCCTGCCTCCTCCTGTCCGGACTGCGGCCCCGATCCCGACGATCCCCGTGGTTAGCAGAGCGATGCCTGTCGCCGTGAATGTGACCGTGCTCGCGGTGCCGGTGCTCATCGTAGTGCTTGCTCCTGTCTGGGGAGCGCCGCTCACTCTGGGACTTCTCTCCCTGGTACTGCCCCGTGTGCCGGAAGTGGCCGCTGCTGGCGCTGCTGCTGGCAGTGCCGCTCGGGAAGGAGCCGGAGCTGTGCTGGTAGCTGTTGAAGCTGGGTGGCGGGAATGACTGCTGCGAGTACCCCGCCAAGTACACGGGCTGGTAGCTGACCTGCTGTGGCATGACTGGCGGGGGGGGAGGGTGTGGTACTGTGGGGGGAGGCATCATGTAAGGAAAGGTGCTTTGTCCAGCAGGTGTTCCTGGCACGGGAGTGTTGCTAGGGTTTGGCACTGGTGGAGGGGTGGGAGGGAAACATGGAGGCACTGGGAAGCTCTGCCTCATCTGGTGGTTTGGAAATGGTGGCCTCATGGGACACTGGCTGATGGGATTTTGTGTGGAAGGGGGCACTGGAGGAGGATAGGGCACAAAGTCTGGCCTGGGAGGCATGTAACCGGTGGCTGGAGGGTTGGAGTAGGTTGTCGGAGGGGCAGTTTGCTGCTCATACTGGTACTGCACGGACGGCTGCTGTGGGTGAAGCTGCCGGAGGTTCTGAGGGCGGTAGGTCTGTGTTGAAGTTCTTGCTCCTGGTCCCCCCTGGCCACGGGGACATCCTCGCCCAGAATGGAAAGACATGGCTCACCTTTATTGAGGGAAATAAAAATCCAGAGTCACACAATTTTTGTAAGATGTCCTCAATGCATCTGCAGGAGCTATTCCTGAAGTGCTGAAAGTGCAGTTTCCTTTAACAGTAGCAGTAATGAATATCCACTTTCACTGGGAGCTTTGTGCTCCTCCTTAGTGCAGGCCATTTATGCCCCTTTTTATTCCTTCAAGCCTCTAATCCATAAAAGTACCTACTGTCTTTAAGCCAGAACCCAAGCTGGATCATGCTTTACAAGTTAGGACAATGTAATTTCAACAAATTATTGTTATGATGACAGGTCAAGGATACAAGCACCTCCACTAGTACTTCAACACTTTGATGTCAAACCTTTGGATACCCCACACCAAAGAAATCACTCATGACTGATAATAGCAGCAGTCATCCAATGTTGCATACATAACAAGGAGTTCTCTCTAGAACACAATTCTAAACTTTAGGCAGAATGACTTGACTAATACCTCATTGCATGCCACCTGGTCCAACAAATCATGTAAATTTTAAATTAAATACTAGCAATTTACACTCATTATTGAGTACCCAATGTACCAAAGGACTGAATTCAACAGACCCTCCAAAGTGTTTTAAGTGAGGTAGGTACATGTTTATGGAAAAACAGGTTACACCCCTTACAGGTTATGAAAAAAACCCCATGTAGACTGTGCCATTCCTTAATTTCCATTGAAATAAATGATTCCCAAGAAATCCCTCATCTGCCTTCTCAGCCCTATTACCCTTGAGAAACTATCACTGCTTAAAGCAGGTTTAAGTGATGCTCAAAACTAGACATATATTTAAGCCATTAATGTTTATAAATGAAAGCACTGTACTTCATTAAAGTTTAAACTGATTCTTTAATTACCATGTTAAGTTTCAAAACCTGAAAAAAGAAGAAAAAAACATTTAAGAAAATCTATGGCCGGAATGGAAGGAGAGGTGAAAAAAATGATCTAAGCACCTCCAGAAGCTAAATCCTGTGTTTCATAAGGGGAAGAGAGAAAGAAAGGGGAGACACACACACACAGACACAATTGGAAAGATCACCAGAGAAAGGAAACAAAGCCTCCCTTTCACTGAGGCTTTGCTGATGCTGAAGTACATGCACAGAATATTCTCCCACCTGCTATAGTGCAACATGGCCAGCCTGGACTGCTCAGAGCACTACTGTCAGCCACATTCTGGTGACACTGCAGGAAAAGATGCAGCACTTGCTGAGAGAGAGTAGACAGCTTCTGGTGAACTGGAGGGAGAAAGGAAAAGAAACACAGGGGCAAAGGACTGATATCAAAGAGGACCCTCCTTACACATGCAGGGCTTAGTGGAAGCCACTGGAATTGGTGGTGGTCATTCCCTCTCCAGAACAATGCGAGGGCCAATGCAAGTGAGAATCCCACTCTTTGAGAAGATAGCAGCCATGATGGTATAAAGCCACTTGCTCCTTTCAGTCAGCTTGTACCTGCTCAGTACCCTCCAATATTGCAAGGGTTCTCAAAAAAAATAAAAATAGAAATAAAAATAAGAAAATAATTTAAAAAAAGCCTGGCAATAGTCTTTTTTGTCTGGCAATAGTGCACCCTTTTGATATTTCTAATTATAATCCATCAGATGCTGACTTAATTTTACTTTGGTTTTCCTGCTGTGCTCTTACACAAGTCAGGCTTCTAACAGAAGACTGTTTTAGACTTTGCTAACAGTCACATACACATTTTATCTAAACAGGCTGTACCACAGTGCCTTGTCTTTAGGTGTGTTTCTTTCTAACATGTCGCAGCTTTCAAACAAACGGTCTTGCTTATCAGCTCTCAGATCTCCCTGATGCCAGAGCACTGCTCTTGTTCTACCACTAATTTCAGTCCTTCAGGATGCACAGAATCACAACTGGAAAAAAAGATTCATAAAGACACAAAACTATTTTACATGGTTACAAATAATTTTAAAGCTCCCTCTGCTACAAACTCAAGTCACATTCAACTTTCATTCAAAGTTAAGTAACTTCGAAAACACTTGAAAGGGCAAACTCCCCTTCCCCCGTCACCTAAAGAGGAATTGCACTGACAGGAGACAGTCCCTTCTAAAGCAGCACAGTGAATAAACTCGCCTCTCCCTGCAGATGCCGTGCTGAGAGCAACAGGGCACTGACACATGGAGAAGAGAGCACCGAGAGGTGACACCATCAATGTGTGTAAGTGTCTAAGAGAGGGTATCAAAGAGGACGGAGGCAAGCTCTTCTCGGCGGTGCCGTGCAACAGCACAAGAGTGAATGTGCAGAAACTGATGCACAGGAAGTTCCACCTGAACATGAGGAAGAACTTCTTCAACTGTGCGGATGCCCGCGCACTGAACGGATTCCACAAAGAGCTTGCGGAATCTCGCTCACCGGAGATATCCAAGAACTGTCTGGACACAATCCTGTGCCATGTGTTCTGGGAGGACCCTGCTGGAGCAGGAATACTGGACCAGATGACCCACTGTGGTCCCTTCCGACGTGACCCATCCAGTGGCCTCACCCCACCGCCGCCTCCCGCTGGCCCGGGGGCACGGAGCCGCTGAGCCGCCCCCGGCCGGGCCCCGCCAGCCCCGCGGAGCCGCCGCGCTCCCGAGCCCGGGACCCACCTGGCGCCCTCGCCGCCGCCGAGGCCAGCGCCGCCCGCAGCGCCGCGGCTCCGGAACAGGAAAGCGGTGGGAGGCGCTGCGGGCGGAAGCGCCGCCCGCCCGAGGGGAGCGGCAGCATGAGCGGAGCGGAGCCGGGGCCCGGGGATGCCTCCCGGCCCGGCGCGGCCTCCCGGCGGCGGTACCCGGCCCTGCCCGTGTGGGTGGTGGAGGACCACCAGGACGTGAGTGCCCGGCGCCGGGCTGCGGCGGGTGGGGGCTCCCTCGGCTGGGGCATGGGCAGGGGTTTCGTGTGTCCCGGTTCGCGGGAGCTGGTTGGTGTTTCTGCGCGGCGCGGATGCTCAGTGCGGCGGATGGGAGCGAAGAGAGGTGCGCGGTGCCGTCACCGGCGGCCTCCCCGGGAGATGCGCTTTCCCGTCTCCGGGCGCTTCCTTGGGAACGGCCCTCTCCTCCGCAGCCACGCACAGGCCCTAAAGCTGCCTTCCCTGCCGCTGCTGAAACATCGATAAACTTCAGCGCCCAGGTGACCTGGTTCAGCGACTGAGCTACTTATTGCCGTGATCGCATTTTGGCATATTTTAAAGCAATAATTGCTGAATGTTCTTTTCTTCTTTGTATCATTAGTTGCTGTGATTTAAAGGAGATAATACCTACCTAACACTGCTGTTGTAATTTGCTAGCTGTTAGTGGGGTGCTTGGAAACTCAACCCTACCCAGTGTACGCCATGTCAGCAGAGGATAAGTAAATATAATCCCATCTCAACTGTTAGATCGACTCCCACTTGATGAGAAATGTTAAAAATCTGGAGCTTTGCCTTCTTGGAGTCATTGAAAAAGGGAGTGAAGAAGGAATTGCTTTTGAACTGCTACTTCTGGTTTCTCATGATTTGTTTTTGTTTTTTTTTAATAAAAGCATAAACTGAGGCTTTAATCCTAAAATAACAGTTTCTGTACTAGATTCTTTGAAAAGAGAACATATTAGTGTAGTAAAGTTTATTAAAGACAATAATTTTACAAATTGTTAAGTACTTCAATGCAATTCATTTTTGCTAAGACTCACTGAATATGTGATGCTGTGACAGCTAATTTGTCATGGTAGCCAAGGACTTAGAGTGTCACTGTAGTAGGAATTCTGAGATAATGCCTCTTAATGATCCTTCTTTATTTTAGTCTCTATATTTCTGTTTTCAAAACTAACTTTCACTTAAAGTTCTATTAATACTATATATTTAATTTAAAATGTTTTCAGTGTAGGAGTGTGGATGAATTGGTCTATCTTGAATAAAACATAAATGGCTATTTGTCCCAAAATGTAAGAACTTCAGAGAAAATTTTATGTCGGCCTTGCTGACAGTGATGTTCCTCTAGAGCAAGTTGTCAGCTTGTTAATATAACAGCTGTCATGAAGGCAATTTTGTTCTAAATCCAAATCAGGAGAACTTGCAAGGTTAGAGAACTTAGTCTCTCTTGTCTCTTGCAATAAGTAGTTACACTTACTTAAGGTGCAGTTTCAATTTTAATTGAAGATACTGTAGATTGTTTAGTAGGCCAGATTGCTTCTTTTTTACGTAGAAGTAAAAGCCATGGTGAACTGGTCTATCTTGCATAAAACATAAATGGCTTTTTGTCCCAAAGTGTAAGACCTTCGCAGAAAATTTTATATCGGCCTTGCTGACAGTGATGTTCCTCTAGAGCAAGTTGTCAGTAGCTGCATCATGCACTGATTAATAATAACAGCTGTCATGAAAGAAATTTTGTTCTAATCCAAATTAGGAGAAGCTGCAAGGTTAGAGAACTTAGTCTCTCTTGTCTCTTACAAACTGTAGTTGCACTTACTTGAGGTGCAGCTTCAATTTTAATTGAAGATACTGTAGGTTGTTTAGTAGGCCAGATTGCTTCTTTTTTACAAAGAAGTAAAAGCCATATGTCAGGGAACCCATGTTGGTTTTAGTCTTGTTTTATCTACTGTTGCAGTAATATACATGTATTTTACAGTTATGCCTATGCAGTATGCAGGGGTTGTCATCTTAATCAGTTTTATGCCAAAAAAAAAGTAGCTCAGTTGCTGTTGTAATGCAGAGGTCACTCATAATTTTTATTGCTTGTCACAGTCTTCACATTCCCTGTATAATAGGGCTGTGATTCACAGTCCTTGTTGGATTTGCTCTGGCAGCCAAGGCAGTTCATGCCATCTAACTGTGGAAGAGAGTCTGGGTACTGCAGCCCCAAAAGGAATCAGCCATCAGTTTTCTCATTTTTACCACCCTATGTTATTGCAGTTCAGTGGTTTGCTATGCTGTAAATTGGTGAGTTGCCTCATCTTTTGTTTGATGCCGTCTAACTGTGGAAGAGACTCTGTAGTACTGAAGCTCCAAGAGCAATCAGACATCAGTTTTCTCATTTTTACTTTCCTATGTTATTGCAGTTCAGTGGTTTGCTATGCTGTAAATTGTTGAGTTGCCTCATCTCTTGTTTTTCACTCTTCTGAGCGAAGAACTTCAGCAGGGAATAAAGTTGGGCAGTTGAGAAAAGTGGTCTCTATTGCAAACACATAGTCATGGAGAGATTAGAAATTAATTCTTCAAGAGGAACAGGTTTAATGGTCAGCTAAAGTTTAAGTCATGGTGGGGTCAGTTTTCAATCTATAGCAGTTAACTTATAAAACATAAGGAACAAACTGCTTTTATCTCCATAGCACCAGTGCACGGCAAGGAAACTTTATAGCATGGGGAAAGAAATACATGGGCAATGATCTGCAGAAGAAGAAAGGCATTTTGGGGGCTTAGTAGTAAATGGAAAAAACCCCAAACATCTGGGAATTGAGTTGAATGACTAGTGAGAAGAGCTGCTGCAAACAAGACTTCCTATAAAGAAGGAAAAAGTGTGTAAAGCTGTGGTTCTTCAGCAGTTTCTCATCTGGAATGCTTGAGCCTATATTGATTACTGTTCATGGGTTGACTTGCCATTGGAGTTATTTCCCCTTTGTATTGTTTTCTGTCTCCTTCTCCCTCTAATCCAAATTCTAAAGGAATAAAAGTGGTACTGGTGTTTTTGCTGCTAAAGCTGTTGCATTTTTCAGCCCACTGGCTATCATAAAAATGTTTTTATTCATGTTGCTTTAGGTGCTGCCTTTCATCTATCGTGCCATTGGTTCAAAGCATCTTCCTGCCAGTAACATCAGTTTTGTTCATCTTGATTCCCATCCAGACCTTCTCATTCCTGTGAATATGCCTGCAGACACTGTATTTGACAAAGAAGCTCTTTTTAGGTAAGTACTGGGTACTGCATCAGAATAGGCTTTAAGTCTACTTCTTGCTCCCTTTGATTCACAGTGAATATTGCTATGACTGTCTAGGAAGGATGAACAAAAGAGGTATAAGTCAGATTCAAGTTGCATCTTCTGTCATTTCACTTTTGCTGAAACTTTATTTTTTAATGACAAAAGTTACCTTGCATATCAAGCAATTTAAGGTGTGTGAGTTTGCTTTGTGTATTAGCTCAGTAGTGTATGATGGTATTATCCCAAGTGGTTCCTCTGGGTAACAGGAAAGGACTCTGCATGGATTCTTTGTCTGAAAAGCTCTAGTTATAAAACAGTCTTTCTCTCTTCACACTGAAAAAATGGCTTTAAGATGGAAATAGCACATCCTTTGTTGGCATGCTGAATATGTGAAGTAGAGCAAGATGTTCCTATTACAATCATAAATACCACTGTTTTCCCCCATCATCTAAGGTAGGTAGGTAGGTGATAAGCCACTATGATCTTTACTTGTCTTCCTGTTTTGAAATAAATACTGTTTGCTTCAGTATTATTGCTTCACTATTATTATTGTGCTTTACAGCAATTACAAGCTGATGCATTTGGTGTACTTGAATCACCTTAGCCAGAGTCAATATTTCGTTCTCTTTATTGGATGAGAGGTTTTGTGGACTCTATAGCAAAATCACCCAACACCTTGGGTTGGAAGGAACCTTAAAGATCATGTAGTTCCAACTCCCCTTCCATGGGCAGGGACGCTTTCCACTAGACCAGCTTTCTCAGGACCCCATCCCACCTGGCCTTGAACACTCCTGGCCATGGGTCACCTACAATTGCTTGGACAACCCATTCCAGTGTCTCACCACACTCACAGTGAAGAATTTATTCCTGATATCTAATCCTAACACACACTCTTTCACTTTAAATCGTGGTGCTGTCACTGCATGCTGTTGTATAAAGTCCCTCTCCAGCTTTCTTGTAGTCCCTTTGAGGTACTGGAAGGTACTATAAAGTATCTGTGCAGCTTTCAGGATCAACAACCCAAACTCTCTCAACCTGTCCTCATAGGAAAGGTGTTGAAGCCCTCTGATCATCTTGGTGGCCTTCTCTGGACCTGTTTGAACAGATGCATGTAATTGTTATGTGGGGGGCCCAGAGCTGGATGCGGCATTCCAGGTGTGTGGTTTCACAAGAGCAGAAAAGAGGGGCAGAATCCCCCCCTGTGACCTGCTTATCATTCTTCTTTTGCTGCAGCCCAGGATACAGTTGGCATCATACACCTAAAAAAATAGGGTCTTGATAATGAGGAAAGATGCTAATCCTGTGGATTGACTCGCTTTAATTACTGGGATGACATTTAAAATACACTTGGTGCAGTTCACAATAAAACACTGTCATGAGGTCAGCTTGAAGTTATTTACAGCAATGTTGATGATGTTCCTTGCACTTTCCTCTGTCTGATGTATCAAGACACAAAGGGCATAGAATCACAGAATCAGTAAGGTTGAAAAGGCCTCTAAGATTATCGACTCCAGCCATTAACCTAACACTGCCAGGTCTACCACTAAGGAGTTTATAATCAAAGTGCCATGCTAAGAGTGAAGCCGATTCCACTCTATGTCCAAACATTTTTTTACCTACTACAGATGTTCTTGGTTTGTCTTATGAATAAAGATTTCCCTCTTTTTCTTTCTTTGTTGATGTTGCTCTTACATGGAGTACTACTTTTAGATTATTTGCACAGGGGACTTCAAGATGTGGAAGATATTTGTGGTGTTCTTGACCATTTTTATAGGGAAAGTAACATTGCTATCTTCTGTCTTTCTCTACTGATTGTAGTGAATTAAGTATTGAAAACTGGATTATGCCTGCTGTTTATGCTGGCCATATTTCTCAAGTAGTGTGGCTTCACCCACCCTGGGCTCAGCAGATCTCAGAAGGGAAACACAGTTTTCTTGTTGGGAAAGATGTATCAACAACAACAATCAGGTAAATTGTCTGCTGGCATATACTAGTAATACAAAACTCATCTCTATAGCTTTTCATTGGAGTTTTTTTGTTTTCTTAAACAAAACTAATAAATAAAAATAAAAACAAACATTTAATTTGTATTTATAATTTCCTTAGAACCTAATGCAGTTACACTTGTATCAATTTGGTCTTTGGTTTAACTAGTGAAATTGTTATTTGGTATCAGCCATGACTTTTTCTAGTGTGAGGTGGGTTTTTTTGTTTGTTTGGAGTTTTTTGTTGTTGTTGTTTTTTGAAGTTTATTTATTTAAGTACTTAAAACAGGCACTCAGGTAGTGAATTCTCCATCATTTGATAAAGGACAATTCACCTGAGCAACCTCATCTAGCTTTGAAGTCAGTTCTGCTTTGATCAGATGATCGACTATAGAGACTTCAGTTGTCTCTTTGAATCTTAGTTATTGTGTGACTCAAGTTCGAATCAGAGCCCTCATCATTCTGCAGGATGCAGTCCATGATAATCTTACATTCACCATATTCATAGTGTTGTGATTTTGGGCAGCTTTAGGGGCTATATGCAAATCATGTCTCTTGTGAGCGTAGCAAAATAAATATTTTAAAGCAAGTTTAACAGAAAACAGCAGAGAAATGCTTTGTTTTGCCACCTTAATTAAAACAATTAAAGCTCTAAAATTCTGAATCTGAAGCCTAAAGACAGCCTAAATTATTTTTTTTTAAAAAGCTAGTGTTTTCTGTTACATTTAATCATTTAGCCAATATATAGGAATAATTCATGATGGTCAAATAGCTCTCTCACTGGTGGCCTTAGGCATGGAAACAACATTTCAGACTTCCTTTTGAAGAAAGTCAGGTACATTTTCTTCAGGTTCTAGGCTTACCAAAATCATGACGGAAGAAAGGGAAAGAGTCCTCATACATACAAATGTCCTAAAAATTTTGATGACAGGAGATTCATAGGCAATAGAAAAAGCCTCATCATGAGTGGACACTAACGTGCTATGAGCTCATGGTGAGCCCTGCAGAGTTTCTGGGAAGATGTGCTGCGATTGCCTTGTCAACAAGATGGGGTTGTAATCCAGCCCCTGACCTTGACAAACTGAGGGTAATCCATCCACAAGACACTGGGCAACTGAACTTCAAATTTCTTCTGCTTAGGAAATGATTTGTCTTTCTGGTTGATTGATGGTGATTTGAATACCCTGTATTCAAATGAGGCCTTGCCACAAGCAAGCCAAAGTTCACACTTCCTAATCTTATTTGTAATTTGAGTTTGTGATGCTTAAGGCTTAATGTACTGCCATACAGGTTGAAATCCGTTCTTTAAATTTTCACTGTAAGCAGAAGTTTCAGTGTTGCTTTTGGTTGGTTAGTTGTTTTGTGGGGTTTTTTTAAAGTGGATTAAATTGATAGTTAGCTATTTATCCTCTAGTTATCATGTTTATTACTTAGGGAATGTGTTGGGGGTAAAAAAAAAGTTGAATTCTACTTATGAATTCATATTGTACTTTCACTAAGTCAATATTTATGCACTTCAGGGCACTTTGCAAGCCCAACTATCATAATTTTCCCAGAAAATTATAAAATCAAGACAAAATATCTATAGGTTTGTAATCTTATGTGCCACAATATTGATAATATCTTGTCAATTCTGGATGTTGTCTTTAAAATGCAATTCAATTTCAAATTAATCTTAGTAGCACATAATGCATTATCTTTTTTTTATCCATTAAAACCTTGGGCTATCATAATAAATATAGAATGACATTTAATATATTCCACAATAAAGAAGTAGAAAAAACTTTAGTATAATTTAAACTTGAGGATTAAAAAAAATAATTGTGTCTACACAGTTTTATTGCTTTCATTAGCCATCAAACATCTATTCATTCTTCTCTGAATCCCTAAAGTATAAAATGCTTTTTCCTAAGCTCTTTGCCAAGATGTGTATTAACTGGGAGTTATTGTCAATTGTAGGGTTACAGGCACAGATAATTACTTCTTAAGTGATGGTCTTTATGTTCCTGCTGATCAGCTAGAAAACCAGAAGCCTTTAAATTTGCACGTCATTCTCATCAATCCTACTGAATCATCAAACAGCCGTGAAGGAAATGGTGAAGTAACATCTGCTAAAAGACTGAAGCTTAATACAGATGACATAGCAAGTGCCACTTCTTCCTCTTCAGAGGCTCCTGATGACTTTGATCACATCATCCCCAGTGTGAGGAAAAAGGAAATACAAAATGCAGGTGCCCTAAATGGGGCAGAAACTTTGGCAGAGGGCTCAGCTTCAAGCTATCTTAAAAACAGTGAATGTCCAGTAAGGGACATTGCTAAAGATGTCTGCCAAGTACTGCAGAAAGGGGATGCATATGTTTTGGACATCGACTTAGATTTTTTTTCAGTTAAAAATCCATTTAAAGAAATGTACACACAGGTAAGTGTGGAAGTTGAGTAGCCTCAAACCACTCACAAAAGAGTCCCAGCCTTAATATTTATGTCTAGGAGAAACGCTCATCTAAGCTAAATTAGCAGATTAGCTGATCATGGTTAATGATTCATGGTAATATTTTAAAGAGGTATTTCCATTTTAAAGAAATATTTCTAAGGGAGTGTATGTGGTAAAAAATTTCAACCACCAAATGGGGGAGTTTCTTACACTTGGTATCAATATTGAGTGTCTGTTGAAACTCAGGGGTATAGTCAACTTCTGCTTCTGGGACAAAATGCTATGGTTGGGTTTCCAGAGGTTACCTTCCAAATACCTGCAGCAAGATACGTCAGGGGAGATGAGAGCCTTTATCATTTTTTACCTGCTATAACCTGTGCTTAGAAAGCTATGATAGTATCTGGAGACTGCCTTTCAAAAGGCGCAATAGTGTTGATTATCCAAAGAGTGGTAGTTTGTCCTGATGAGAGGCTGTTATACTTATTATTGTCTGCCTTGCTAGAGTAGGGAAATTATCTTTTTTTGAACGCTTGGAGGATTGGGTTTCTCATTTGAAGAGTCATTTTCTTCTTCTTTTTTTTCTTTTTCAAAGACAGAATATGAGCTTTTGCAAGAGTTGTACAATTTCAAGAAGCCACATAAAAATGCAACAGAGGTATGATGCTTCCTTGTGGAACGTATGAAGGAATGATTCTTTTTATTTACCCAATGAAAATGAGTTACGACAGCAGGAAGGAACCTATCAAAGGTGCTTAATGAAGTGGTCTCACATTAAGCTATGCAGCTGAATGCTAATCAACAGCATCTTAGAATTTTTTTCTATTAAATGTTTTGATTAAACATGTTAATTGCATAAATATTTAGTATGAGTGTGAAAAATTGTTTCTGTAAACAAAATGGTAATTGGCATGGAAGGAATGAAAACCTAGTAAGTCACCAGAAAACTTGTTCTTTTTGTGGTTTAACTGGGCTTAGGTTTGGTGGGGTGTTTCTTCTTTGGTTTTATGGTAGCTGCTTCTTTTTTCTTTTTTTTTTTTCATTCCTCCCTCCAGGCTCTCCCATTCCTTCCCTTGTTGCTCTTTCTTGATAATCAGAGCTGTGATGAATGCGTAATTGGTATTTTGCCTTTTTGTTCAGATGTGGAAAGGATGGTATTATGCTGTATTTGAAGTACTGCAAGAAAGTACTGTAATGTACTTTTTATTTTATGTGCTGTGTGCTTCTAAAACATGGAAATACAGGCTTTCATAATCTCATCTGAACACTAATACAGAGAGATTCAACACATTTAATTATCACAAATAAATGAAACCTAATTAATATATGTGAATAGAGAAATAAAGATATGTTGAATATTGGCAAATAGTTTTTTATATTTCTTAGTTAACCAGGAATAAGGACAGGTACATATTTAAAAGGTGGCTTTTTTAAATTTGTGATGGGAAGACCAGAACAAAGTGAGATGATTGATTCTGAAGGTGTAACAGCTTTTGCAGGCATTTGCTGTGATCCTCTTGAAAAAATGTGTTGGAATGAATCAGTTGTTTGATTCCCCGCTTCCAGTAGATCAATCATTACAGAAAATAAATCATAGAATAAGTCAGATGTTCTTACCTCTTTTTTTTCCTAACATACTTTTGTATATACTTATTTAAAGGAAGATTTGCTGGATTGTGTTGAAAACCGTGTTCATCAGCTGGAAGATCTGGAAGCAGCATTTGCGGATTTGTGTGACAGTGATGATGAAGAAACCCTACAGAAATGGGCTTCATATCCTGGGTAGGAATTTTGAGAGGCCTAAACTGCAAATAGAAGTTTGAGAACTGATTAGTCCAGCATTTTTATAACAGAAAAGGATAGGATCTGTGCAAGTACACACTTTTTCCTTTAGTTCTAGAGGAAAAAGAGACACAAAAAAAAGAAAGGCAGCCTACTGTCTTCTGCACTACTGTAAGCTTTGGAAGCTCTGTCTTGTACAAGCTTCATGCAAGTTTTGTTGTCTGTGGATAGAGGCATATTTGGTGACTAAAACCTTGGTCATTCATGTGTAGCACAGCTCTCAAAAAAGGCAACAAACCAAGGAGGGCATGGAGAAGCAGTTCTTTGGTGCTCCCAAAGGTTCTGCTTTCTTTGGAGAAACAGAAGTTAATGGAACTGTACCTGAGCAACAGTCTCCACTAGACATCTGAACTGCATTACTCTGCTTTTAAACTGAACTTTTTCATGTTTTCACATGAAAAGTTTTCAGATGAAAAGAGACAGTCAAAGTGAGCTTTTCCTTGATAGGAAAATCACTCATTTTCCACAGCAAATGCACCAATTACTGAATGACCTCTGTAACAGTGACAAGAAGTATTTCCTATAAAGTTCATATGACTTTTGAGCTGCAACAGCTTCTCTGCAGATATAGCCTAAACGAAGCACAAGGAATATTTGCCAGAGGCAAGTATAACTATAGGGGTTTTATAAGAAACCTGGTGAAACAGTGCAATAATACTGATAATTTCCATTTTTGCAGGTGCAAGATGACAGAGGAGCAAATTTCCTTTTCAAATCCTAGGCCATCATTTCTACTTCCCTCTTTTTTCCTCCCCTTTTTTTTTTCCTAACCATTTAAGGTATATAAATGTTTCCAACTGTTCGTAACAAATGTTGGTTTTGTTTTACCTCCAGAATGAAGCCACTTGTTCAACTAGTTCACAGTTTGAAAACCAGGATGGAAAGCCCAGACTATGAAATGGTAGGTGACCAAAAAAAGCAGACAGATGTCAAAAGCATGGCTTCAACAGAGAGGGAGAGAGTCATACTTCCTTTCAGACTTGCTTCTTGATTCAGGACTTCATGTCTTTTTGGTAATTTTCCTCAGGTTTTATGTCTTATTACTTAGACCAGCTTTTCCTCTCAAAGCTGCTAAAATTCTAGTCTGCTTGTCTGTCCATATTTAGGCAACTTTAGTGTGATCTCCCAGGACTGTGATGTCTTGGGCTGCATCCTGTGAATGGAGGCTAAATTTCACCAGTCTGTTGATCACCTTTGCAGAACTTAAAATAAGGTACCTATTTTTGTAACATATCAGAGCTATATCATCTTTCAAGGGCTGCAGCGTACTCTGAATTCATAAGAAGAGGTACAGTGTACTGGAGATAACAATCCATACAACCTCCAGAATTTTACTTGTTTAAAGAACAAGCTGGGGGTGAAATCCCAGTATGGGAAGAGGTGCAAGTTACCTGACGGGCTAGGGATGATATTCTAAAGATTTTCTACATGCATAAGCTGTATCTATAATTTATCAACAGAAATTAAATCTCTCTTTAATTTACCTACAGGTCCATCAAGCTGGTCTGACCTGTGATTATGTGGAGCTTCCTCACCATGTTAGCACTGAAGATGAGATCCAAGGCCTCATGCAATCCATTAAAGTTCTACTGACAGATCTGCCCAAGCCCACTCTGGTGACAGTTGCTCGGTATGACTGTGCAGATCCTTTCACTTCAAAGTATCCAGACTATGTTTATGAAGCTAAATGATCCTGTCAATATAGTACTAGTTCTCTCTTAAGCTCTATTAAAGTGGAAGCTTTACAGTGCTTCAGCACAGGTTATGTAAAGGCTGTGGTGAGGCCTTGTGTGTGTTGGGATTGATAGCTGTCACTGGAGTTTGTACATCTCTACTTGTGTTCCTTGAGCTAATTAAAGCATAGGTGGCTTGGGCTGAAATCCCACCTTCCTTACTCTCTTGCTCTAGGGTTTATTGTACCACAGATAGGATTTCTTTTTTTCAGTGAAACTTTTGCTGGAACGAGTTTTCATCTAGTAGACTGAAAGGCATTTATATTGTTTAAAGCTCTAGTAAAACTTTTTATGGGATAAAAGTTTGGCTTCCAGGACTGTAAGGGTTTTATTTAGAATAACAGAATGGAGTTTGAGGCCAGGAACCTAGGACAACCAAAGAACTGGTCGGAAAAAAATCTACTTTGAAGACCACAGTGTGGCTCGTGACAAATTATTGCAATTTAATCAGTCAAAAATACAGTTGTGCTCTTAAAGTGCCAGCAGCAATAGCAGAAGCTGATATGAAACTGGTTTTGGCAACAAGAACTAGTATGGCTAATGGCTGCAATAAAAGAAAACTCTATTCCCCGGGCCAATTGCCGGGTTATTATCCACTGCTGTGGAGAAACCTCTATCATCTCTGTAGATCTTAACAGCTAAAAAGTTCACAAAGTCAGTTTTTACTACTATCTGTTTGAAGTTCATTAATAGATACTGTTGAAAATGCTGTATGCCAGGTATTGTGAAGATATTTTTCAAGTTTTCCTGCCTACTTTATCAGTAGCATTTCAATTTTTCAATCTAAATTTTCCATGTGTCCTTTAATTAGATAATTTGGTTGAACTTTGACTGGCAGTGTGTTCTGTGCCAGATTCAGGGAGAGAGCAGAACAAGAAAGATCATGTCCCTGATCTGCTGCAGACTTTCTATTAAACTTAACATGTAGTGGTAAGAAGCACAACACTATGCTTCAGAGGGAGGCAAAACTTGCCACAGTTTGAAAGAAGCTTTAGCCTAGAATTGCAGGAATACACAAGTGGTTATGGTTGTGATATTGTGATATCTGTAGCCTCATGCTGCTTTTTTTTTTTTTTTACAGATCAAGTTTGGATGACTACTGCCCTTCAGAGCAGGTTGACATCATTCAAGAGAAGGTTCTTGATTTACTACGTTCAGTGTATGGCTCGCTGGATGTGCACTTAGATTACTCAAACACTTCATCTTCTTCATGACCTTTCTTCTTGTGTTGCTGTCTAATGAAGAGGATTAATTTAAATTGTTCATTAGCTGTGATTGCAAGGGGAAGACTGCTGTTATTTCAGCAGGTGGCACTAGAACCCAAGGTGACCCAGCTAGGGTTTGGGTTGCATTGCTTTCTCCACATTAGCTGCATGTGAACTGTTACCTGTTTGGCTTTGTTCAGATTAGTGCTGTAATTCTTATTTTTACCATCTTGTTTCTTAAAATTGGTGCAAGAGAAACGACTTTTTGTCTATAAATTGAGGGATTTTGTCCCTTTTCTTTGCGTCTGTAAAAAAAAATTAAAATACATAATTTCTTAAAATGGTTTTCTGTTATGTATGTTTTTTGTAATTTGGTAACAGATTTGCTCCTGAGTTGTATTATGTCTTTTAAGAACTGGTTTTAAAGATGCCCTTAAAATTGTTGGTCTGTGTAGTGATCTTTCCTATCTATTTTGCTGAGATGACCCTCTCATTTCTCTAGAGCAGCTCATGGCTTCTGCCCCATCCACAGAATATCATTTATGTTTATTTTCTGTCTCACTAATGTCTTATTTTGCCTTAGAATATTTTATTGGTGGCTTAGATAATATCCCTAATATACAGACATTGGGCTTGGTATTTTCACTTCTACATTATTTTGAGGATAAAAAGTATGTGTGCACGTGTATGCTTTTATGTTTTAAATCCTGTAAGGAATTGATCGCTTTTTCAGAAACAAAGATTTTGCTTCACTGAAGTCAGCAGCAAAACATTCTGTACCAGGCTTTCACTCATTTCAGTATTGCTATTTAGGAAATAACAGTTTTAGAACTACTTAATTTAGAAATCAATATAGCTCTAAAGAAAACTGGCACTTCAGAGTTAAAAACCACACAGGATTTATTGGGAATGAAACTGAAACAGGAAAGAAAATGCTACCTAGAACATTACCTTTTATTATGAATAAATTTTGCTTGTAATTTCTTCTGAAATGGTGGAGTTTATTTGCTAACTTTACTCTTTGCTTTACAGAGACTTTGTGCGCTTTTTAGTGTTTTTTACTACTGCTGTTGATGTAAATTACTATATTATAGATTGTAAGTATATAATTTCTTTAAAATATTTGTTCTAGTAGAATAAATTCCATGACCATGGATCCATTTTGTTTGTGATTTTGTAACGTGTCACAAGGAGCCTTGGAGCCAATATCCTTAATGCTTCATACATTATAAACAGCCATACATCACATATAGCAATGAAGTGCAGTCACATTATGTGCTGCTTCTGTAAAGATTGGGTTTTTTTAAAGTTAAAAATGCTTCATGGTGGGCTTTTCATAAGGTTGTAGAAAACAAAAAACCTGTGTGGGGCATGGCTGAGCATCTCCTGGATGGGCAGGTGAGAACCAGTTTTCCTTGGGGAAAGCCTGGGCAAGGGAGGGCAAAATGCTGCCTGGCAGCCAGGGCTAAAGGATCCAAGCTGGGAGAACTTTTAGTATGGACCAAACCCAATAGTGCCTGCAGCTCTGCCTGGATGCTCCTCTGGGGTGCCTTGTTTAGTGAAAATTAAACTTCTTGGCCTTTTATCTGTGGTCATGTGGTTGTTCCTGTGCCCTGCCTATGCTGGTTCATGCGCATGTGTTCACCACGGTTTTGCAGCATAAAAATAACATCCTGAATTGTCTGTTTGTTTTCCAAGTTAATTAAGAAATCTTCCTTTCAGGCACAATTTTTGTTTATGAATGTCAAATTGTTATCATCTGAAATCTGACTAACACAGGCTGTGTATATGCCAGAAAATGCCAGTCTCGCATAATAACAAAGACATTAATTTCTACATTAAGGACATTTACAAGGTTGTTTTTTACTTTGGTGAAAAGTAATCAAGGCGATCCAGAAACAGGTGTCTCTTATTTCTCATTTTTGCCCTATATGGCTTCTTTCTTAACCAGATGCACAAATCCTCCATTCCCAGTGTCTCTCCCTCATTTTCCTCTCAGCTTATTTCAGTATGTATTATGCAGAACCAGACAGTGAAATTGCAATGCGTAACTCCTAATCAGCACTGCAAGGATGGGACATGAAGGCCCATTAGAAATAAACCCACCTGAGGATATTAGCATAGCAGCACTGTCTTAAGTCAGCAGCTTCATATTGTCTCTTGTGTCTAGATGCCTCTGCCTGCTCTGCTGCTCCCTTTGGCAGCACAGAGGAGTAAGGATGCCCAATTTGGAGGGTGTTTGCAGATATTCCTCAGTGGTAGAGATAGTTCTGTTGTAATTGTGGCTCAGTTTCCAAGATGCACCATCAACCTGAGCAACCACACACACATTTGCGCGCAGAATGAAACAGGGCCTTAAACCAGATATGCTGAGCAGCCTCTGCCTTCCCTGTGTGTCATCAGCTCTGCACCCCAGCCACGCTGTGGATTCCCAGCTTGTCACTGTGGAACAAAATGAGCTTTTCCAAGAAGAATGAACAGGGGATGAGTCAGATGATGGAGTTTACTGTGTTCTCTGTTACCATTTCTTCCCCTCCTTGAGGCTTCTGTCTCAGTGTCTGTGGCAGCTCTGTCCCTTCCTGTCTGTTGGTAATGATGCTGTGAGTCAGTCACCCTAGACTTGGTCAGAGCTGAACTGTGGGGGCTGAAGAGTCAACTCCATAAATATCTTCTTTCTGCTGCTACTGAGGAAGAAGAAGAAGATAATTCTCCATCAAGATCAGTCTTGTGGGAAGAGACCCTTCCCTGGAACTATCTAAAAGATCTTCATATGTGGCATTTAGGGCTATGGTTTAGTGGTGAACTTGGCAGTGCTGTGTTAATGATTTGACTCAATGAATTTAGAGATATTTTCCAATCTAAACAGTTCTAGAACTTTTTCTAGGAGATCCATAATATGGGTCCTTTTCAAGGAAGAGCACTGGAAGGTCCCCTCCTGTCCTGTTTGATGGCTCCTGTTGTTCCCATCAGTGCTACAAACCCTTTGTAAGTCCCAGCCACTCAGGAGGAAGGAAGAAAGACATTCATTTTCTGTCTTCAGCTTTCAATGTCTCTTGCAAGAGGAAATGCTCTTTCATAACAGCAGAGGTGCAGCTCCCACCCCCTAGTGCAGATAGTCAGGAACCCAGTAAATCCAGTCCCAGCTCCTGCTTTGGCACAAATTCCTTCACTGTCATCAGGCTAAGCCACAGACCAGTCCTGGGAGAGAGGCAGTGTGGCTTAGGTCTACAATGACCTCAAGAAGAATCATACCAGGATCCCAACACTATTTTTATTCCTTACCTGCCTTTGAGGCTGTGGACCACTGTCTGCCCTGTTTCTCTGTCACAAGCACAGCTCTGGAAGGTGCTGAGTCCCTTCACTGGTGTTCATGTCCCAGCAGACTTAAAGGGACTCCCAACTCCTCCCTCTCTCAGATAAAGGAGCTCACATCTGCAAAGGAAAGCTTTACTCACTGTAGTCCCAAGCATTTAAGACATGGCTCTGGTCTAAATTTTTGTCTGGTTTTGTATAGTGGTTGAGTATTATTTTTATCATTTTATTGCCATTTTCTTTGAGCTTAAATAATTTCAAACGGGGATACTTACCCTCTCAAGGAAGGAGCCATCTCAGTGGAGAGAGAAAAATCATTCCAGCCTTCCCTTGCTAAATGCTAGTTATGTATTTTCGGCAGCTTCCATGAATGTCCTGATGGTTTTGCATATCTTCTACCACAGTGGATTGCACTGTCTGCTGGGCTGCATTCTTAGGGATTTCATGCCTTTAGCAGAATTGTTAGCATACCATTTTACTCAAGGTTCTTGCCAAAACAAATAAGTACTAATTTATGTTTGTTTTTCACTGCTTTACAGAATGAGGTCCATTGCAAACTTCGGACTACCTCTCCCAAAACAAATCTAAAATGTGTCCATCTCTTGCCTGCCCTAGGCAATACTAAATCTTATATTTATTTAATGTATGGTGTCACAATGTGCAGTCAATAAATAACTCCCAGCAGAGTTGCTAATATGGATCTGAATAGTGTACTGAATATCACTGTACTACATTATTTTCTAATTTTTATGTCTTTTGTACTCTGCTTGCTGCCCAGCATCTCTTCCAGCCTTTCTTGTAATTGCTTCTAAACATGTTTTCGACAACATAAATTTAATAAGACTCCAAGGTGTACAAAAGCCTTCTGGAACACTGTGCCCTGCACCAGGTTGTCCTTCCCTGCTGCTTGATTTTGCTCAGCTCTGAATACTAATGGCCAAGCTAACTCAAATCCCTGTCTTTAATGTATCAAAACCTGCCTTGGGACTTTCTTCTTTTTTACTTCAACTTTATTTTCTGACTCTAAGAATGTCACCAGCTACCCAATTCTTATTAACACTGAATGTCTGATATCATTTGTCTAATTTCAATTGCCCAGATTCAGATGCCCCTTGTTCCAGTAAGCTTTTCTGATTTACTACCTACCTCAGCTTTAGGCCAGTCATTAAAATGAGACCTGGCTGATCCTCCTCAGTAAACACTGATTTTTTTTTCTTTTTAAGTATCATTTTAGAAATGTCTGTAACTAAAGTCAGAATATGGATGCATTTTGTTTCCATACCTCTAGGTGCTATTTTATTTCAATTAATATGGCACTGCTCAAAGCTAGTCATAAAAGTTCCTTAGAAGTACAAGTCAAAAGCTGATGCATTAGTGACTTCCATTTCCCAGATAGTCCAAAAGTGTTGGTGAACATGATAATATCACGTCAGACAGAAATAGTTCACTGACAAGACTTTTAACTTCCTTGTTTACAAGTTGCAGAAATATAAATGCATTTGTGAAACACATTTGTAAAGTACATATGGTACTCTGGTTTCTATAGGAAATTTGACAGAATGAAATCTGCAGATTAAAACTTCTCTCTTTGATGAGGTTATGGATGCTGCTTCTTTTCTAACAAGTCACTCATGTATCATTAGACAGTGCAGGAATATAGAAGTAGTTCCCTTTTCTCCCTGTTTCTCAGATTTCAAGTAGGCTAGCAATTCTAGTAACAAAACTCTGTTCCCTCCCAGTTACTCATTCCTGGATTTTTTTTCATCTACTTCCTTACCTTGGTTCTCTTCTTTTTTCTTCTAAGCCTTTAATTCTTTTGATATTTTCTCTCTCTAGACAGCAGATCAATACTAAACTTTAAAAAACATAAGGCACAAAACACCTCTGCACCCTGAGTGTCATAGTATTAAACATTCTACTTTAGCCACTTCTAATGCCAGTCTTACATATCATTGTTTAAATCACAACCTTGTGCACAATGCAGAGCAGGTGACACTAGAATCATCAAACAAGAAGTCTTACTAAGAACCTATTCATACAGCCATGCTGCTTAAGCCTGTTGCCAAAATATCCTCTTAATTAGGTCCAACAGGTGAAAAGAAGGACCATTCAGTGAACAAAATACCTGGGACTGCCCTCATGGAGAAGAAACACTTTTGAAGCACTGAATACTATTGGGCATGTATTCCCACTAGTATGTTTATTTTTGATGCTGCCTGTGATTCATCAGCTTTCTGGGGAAATCCTGGTAAATGCCTGGCACAGCTCAATAAATATTTGAAAAGTGACTGGAAACAGAAGAGAGTCTGATTACTTAAAGATTTTTTAGGAGAAAATTCCAAATATAAATGTGATCCATAATAATCCCTTTCTTTTGTGTCGTACATCTTTTCCCAACCTGCCAAAGATACTTCTTCAAATTTCCATTTCTCCCTTTTGTAGTTTGTGGTCTTATTTTTGGTGCCTAATTTTATAATTAATAATTGGTAATTATTGTTTAGGTAAGTAGAAAAATTCACCTCTTCTTTGATTCACTGGCAATAACAAAACTTTGGCATTTTTATCTGTAATTCTATTAATCTGTAAAAAAATTTCATACTGGGTTGGTCAACATTGTTTATGTTTTTAATGTATTTGCTTCAATGTGGAATCAAACTTTTTGTATGGTTAAAGAAATGTA